AACGATTAATAGATTAATTGATCCGGATATTTAAGCTCAATGGTTCGACCACAAACTTTAAGTATTTGGGTGAGGTGAACGGAGTTTCGAGTTTTACTACCATCGTGAATTTCACCAAAAGCAATCTGGTGGCTGCACGCTTCATTTAAGGGCTGGAATGTTCAACCGGTTTGAAAATCGAATCTTTAATTGCTAACAATTAACTCATATTAACTTTCTAATCATTACCTTGTAAAAAAAATGATTAATAGATTAATTGTTTGAAATTCTAAATTTGAAATATTAAATTGAATTTTTAATTTGGATAAAGAAAATTTTGAAAATAAAAAAAAATTTATTCATTTTATTATATATCTTATAATTAGATGTATAAAAAAAATCAAATCATTATAATTTTATTTAATTTGATTGTTAAAATAGTTATTAATAATTAATAAAATAATTAATATTTATTTATTTAATAAATTAAAATTAATTTATAAATTAATATCTTCAAATATTATAATTAATTATTTAAGAAAAAATTACTACTAAATAAGATATTAATCAAACTAAACATAATAAAAGTCAATTACCTAAATAACTCAGTAATATCTTGTTTCACTTAAAATAAAAAATAAGGTTAGTGTTTGTCTACTTTACTTCTAAAAAATTAGAAGAAAAAATGACAAAAATCATCTTAATGCATATTTTAAAATAAGGATAGTTTAATCTTTTTTAATAAAAACTTATTTAAACGACGTAGTTTTAGCCTTTTAGATGATTTTCTTCTTAATTTTTAAGAGGTAAGGTTAATAAAATACTATTTGCATAACAAATTTTGGTAAAAATAAAAAATGATTAGTTTTTATTGATGAAAAAAAAACAATAAAATGATAAGCAGACCAAAAAAACCACGGTTAATATTAAACCTGACCATAGTTAAATCTGCCCGGAGGAACAGACTTAACTGCAGTTATCCTCAAGTCTCAACTCTTGATTTTCCTTCCTTTTTGCACTTTCTTCAGCAAAAGCATAAGAAAGCCTAGAAAGCCTTCTCTTTCTCTAAATAGAGAAGAGCAACGGGCGATTCTGAAGCTGATAGTGCGCCAGAATGAGTTTTCCGAAGAATCGTCGGTTGAATTGGTAAGTTGATACTACAATCGTTTTCCAGCTTTCGTTTATCTTTCTGTTTGCACAGTCGAATCGTTTCGCCTGATGAAATCTATTAGTTCATTTCTGCACTTTATTTTAGTTTTGCTAGCTTGTTCGAGTTAATTGGGTTGGTTATTGATGAAGAGAAATGTTTTTTTTTTTTTTTTGAAGGGGGCGTATGTGATTTTAATTTAATCGAATTTTTTTGGTTGTGTTGAGATGATGATATGGTCAGGAAGAGTGATTTGGTTTCTTAAATTGGGGAAAGTTTATGCTAAAAGATGGACAAAAAAAAAAAAAGATAATTTCTTTCTTGATATGTGTTGGTAGTCCGCGAAATGAGAACTAAGGCAGATCTGTTTGGGTGTTGATATTGATTTTCCTTTTGTCTTTCTGGCAGAGGAAGTCTAGGTTTGGATAAGAATCATAGGATGGTTGATTTCTTTTTATTTGTAATTGGTAGTGGTAGCCAATTTTGAACGCTGTAAATATTGATGCTTGGATTTAATTCTGTAATTTATTTGGAATTGCGTCTGCAGTAATTGATAATAAATAGGGACTTATTGGAAAGCTAGTTTTCCTTCTGTATTACATTGAACTTGTGCAATTGTTAGTTCAGTGTACAGTGTACCTGGCTTGCAATTAGATGGTATTACTGTTTAAACTGTCTCCGATTTATTTATTTATGTGTTTGGTGTGGAAAATCATAATAATAAAATTTGCAGAGGTGCCTTGAATTGGGTGAGAAAACCAAAGTTAACTTCCTCCAGGTTCAATCAACTGATTCATATTTGAAGCAGTGCGGATCTTTGCTTTTTCCATGGGAATCTTTGAAGAAATGGGTTTCTGTAGCAATCTTGATTTTCTCCCTGCTCCTCCTGTGGAGGAAATGATTTCTGAGCGTGAACCTGAGGCAACTATTGAGGATGATTATACCGATGACGAGATGGATGTTGATGAGCTTGAGAGGAGGATGTGGAGAGATAGAATGCTTCTGAAGCGGCTCAAAGAGCAGAACAAAGCTAAGGAAGGGATTGATAATGCAAAGCAGCTGCAATCACAGGAACAAGCCAGAAGGAAGAAGATGTCTCGGGCACAAGATGGTATCCTGAAATATATGCTGAAAATGATGGAAGTTTGTAAAGCCCAGGGTTTTGTCTATGGGATCATTCCTGAGAAGGGGAAGCCAGTGAGTGGAGCATCTGATAATCTTCGGGCATGGTGGAAGGAAAAGGTAAGGTTTGACAGGAATGGCCCTGCTGCCATTGCTAAATACAAGGCAGATAATTCAATCTCTGGTAAAAATGAAGACTCTGGTACTGCAGCATCCACACCTCATACCCTGCAGGAGCTACAGGATACTACTCTTGGCTCACTTTTGTCAGCTCTTATGCAGCACTGTGATCCACCGCAGAGGCGTTTTCCTTTGGAGAAAGGTATTCCTCCTCCATGGTGGCCAACTGGGAATGAGGACTGGTGGCCTCAGTTGGGTTTACCCAAAGATCAAGGTCCTCCTCCATACAAGAAGCCTCATGATCTGAAGAAAGCTTGGAAAGTGAGTGTTCTCACTGCTGTCATCAAACACATGTCACCTGACATTGCCAAGATCCACAAGCTTGTTCGTCAGTCTAAATGCTTGCAGGATAAAATGACTGCTAAGGAGAGCGCAACATGGCTGGCCATTATTAATCAGGAAGAATGGTTGTCTCGCAAGTTGGATCCTGATAGATGCCCACCTGTCTCTACTGGTGGTAGTGGTTCTTTGGTCATCAGTGATTATGATGCCTGTGATTATGATGTGGATGGAGTGGATGATGGGTTGAACATTGAAGTAGAGGAGGTAAAGCCTTCAGCTGCCAATCTTTTAAATATGGTGGCTACTGGGGCAAGAGAGAGACATATATTGCCACCATTGGTTCCTCAGATCAAGGGAGACACTGTTGTAACTGGCTCAGATTTCATCCAGAAGAGAAAGCAGCCTGCAGATGAGCCAGGGTTAATGATGAATCATGAGATATATACCTGTGAGTACCCACAGTGCCCTTATAATGATCAACGCCTTGGGTTCCTTGACAGGACTTCAAGAAACAATCACCAGCTGAACTGCTTATATCGTGGCAATTCTTCTCAAGGGTTTAGCAGTAAATCTTTGCAGGGTTCTCACAGAAATTATTCTCAAGAGTGTGGAATAGCAAGTTTTCAAGTCAACAACAAACTGCCACCTTTTGCCCTACCCTTACCTCAACCAAAGGCAGCTATTGGTTCACTAATCCAGACTCCTCAGTTTAGTGTTACAGGACTTGGACTTCCAGATGATGGGCAGAAAATGATTTCTGAGTTAATGTCTTTCTATGACACTAATCTTCAGCAAAACAATGGTATCAATCTGATTGCCTCAAATGATCAGAATCATCAGCAGTCACGCCAAGAGCAACAGAAGCACCTAACTCAGATGGATGATATGTTCCATGGCCAAGTTATTACATTTGGAGGTAACATGTCTGAAGGGACCAACATATCAGCAAACCATTCTGCTTTCCCATCATCTGAATTTGACTTTGACCGGTGCAAGGCATTTGATTCTCCCCTTGATAGCAATCCTAATGATAATATTGTTGGCTTCAGATTTGGCTCGCCATTCAACTTGGCCTGTCCTGATTACACCATGGATCCACTGCAAAAGCAGGATGGTTCACTGTGGTATCTCTGAAGAAAGAATCAGAAATCCACATGCTTTTTCTGTTAGTGGACTTCAGTAGAAGGGTAAAACCCTGTATATTCTTGGAAGGTGGTCATGGTTACCCTGTTTCTGCTTGAAATGGTTGAAGCTTCTTCCTTCTGAATCTAGTACCAGTAATTTTGTCCTGATGTAGATGCATAAGATCCTCGTGGACCTGGCTTTCCTTTGGCACCTTTCTTTTTTCAAGGCTGGTTTGTCTTGACTGGCTACTAGTGCAAGCATTGAGGAAAGGAAAAAGACCACCGAAGAACTAGGAAGACTAGAAGAGGAACCAACCCATCTATCAGTATTACTGTTGAAATACTTAGACTTTCTTTGTTGTAGTTGAGTGTTTGGCATGTATACACTTATACTATACTCCTATATATACGAACAGTTTTTCTGTATGTTATGCCCGTTTTTCTTCCCAGTGCCTCCTGTTATGCAGTTTACTGTGAACCAGCACCTCAGAAGCAATTTAAAAATAAAAAATAAAAAATGAAAGACTAGTAAAATAAACTGACTAGATGTTATTCAGAACTACTAATAATACATCAATAGATTATTTATCTTAAAATTAAAAATTGGAATGAAATGAAAGAGGGGTTATCTGACCACGTCTTTGTCATTTCTTCCCCAGCTACTATCCTAAATAATGTATTCAATCGACTCCATCTGAATTTTCTTCTTATTCTATGCTATAAACTATTCCATAATTTGTTGCTAAGTTGATGTCAATCCGCGTTTCAACTTCTCCCCCTTCAACACTCAACAGACATTTTTCATCTTGTCCTCCCTCTGGCCTCTGCAAATACTCTGTATCCCAGATTGTGGAGAAATTCCTTTCCATGGGACAAGAAACAAGAAATCTCTCTGATGAATATGAAATCTCGGACATTTTAGGGAAAGGAGGATTCTCAGTTGTGAGGAAGGGTATTCAGAAAACCAACGGAGAAAAGAGACAAGTAGCCATCAAGACCCTGAAGAGATTTGGTCCAACAGCTCCATCAGGAGCTCCACGTGTTAAAGGCAGCGAGAAAAGCATAGCCCTCATGGGCTTCCCCACTTGGAAGCAGGTTCCAATATCTGATGCCTTGTTGACAAACGAGATTCTGGTCATGAGGAAGATTGTGGAAAGTGTTTCCCCCCACCCAAATGTGATTGACCTCTATGATGTCTATGAGGACCAAACTGGAGTGCACCTGGTGCTGGAGCTTTGCTCTGGAGGTGAGCTATTCGACCGGATTGTGGCTCAGGAAAGGTACTCTGAGGTTCAGGCTGCGGCTGTGGTCAAGCAGATAGCTGAAGGATTAGCTGCTCTTCACAGGGCAAATATTGTCCACAGAGACCTGAAGCCTGAGAACTGCCTTCTCTTGAATAGAACAGAAGATTCTCCTCTGAAGATTATGGACTTTGGATTGAGTTCTGTGGACGAATTCACTGATCCAGTCGTGGGGTTGTTTGGTTCCGTAGATTATGTCTCCCCAGAGGCTCTTTCTCAAGGCAAAATCACTTCCAAGAGTGATATGTGGTCTTTGGGAGTAATCCTGTACATCTTGCTTTCTGGGTACGTAGCCAATTATCCTGTTTATTCCATTCATGATAAAGTTGCAGGAACAAAGATTGTAACCAATTCTTATGTGCATTGCAGTTATCCACCTTTCATTGCCCAGTCAAACCGGCAGAAGCAGCAGATGATAATTGCCGTATGTGGACATTTCATTTTCTGATCCATCTGGGATTCATTTTTACCACTTGTGTTTACAAGAAGGAATGTTTCTCTTTACAGGGGCAATTCAGTTTCGAAGAGAAGACATGGAAAGACATTTCTTCCTCAGCAAAGCAGCTGATTTCTGATCTGCTGAAAGTTGATCCTGACAGAAGACCAAGTGCACAACAAGTATGATATGCACCTTTTCTTCCATTAGTCTGGTCCGTTCATTTAATTTGCTTCTTCCTACCAAGAATCATTTTGGCTTTAATCAAGTATATACCTTGGAGCAGCTTCTGGATCATCCATGGGTCAGAGGTGATTTGGCCAAGCAGGAGCAAATGGATGCGGAGGTTGTTTCTCGACTGCAGAGTTTCAATGCCCGGCGCAAGTTCCGTGCTGCTGCAATAGCTAGCATTTTGAGCAGCAAAGTCCTATTAAGGACAAAGAAGCTGAAAACTCTGCTAGGCTGCCATCATGACCTTACAGAGGGGGAAATTGAGAAACTCAAGACAAATTTCAAGAAAATGTGAGTATATAAAGCTACCAGTCACTGCAGTTTCTTCTTTATTTGCTCCCTTTTTCTTTCTGAGCATCAGTTTTAGTAGTTGGTAACCCCTTGACATTGTTATGGAAAATTCACGCTTGTGGCAAAATGTAGATGTGCAAAAGGTGACAATGCAACTCTCCCCGAATTTGAAGAAGTGTTGAAAGCAATGAACATGGCATCACTTGTCCCCCTAGCTTCTCGTATCTTCGACCTCTTTGACGATAATCGTGATGGCACAGTTGACATGAGAGAGATAGTCTGTGGATTCTCCAGCCTCAGGAATTCTAGAGGGGATGATGCTCTGCGTCTGTGCTTCCAGGTGCACTCTTCTTTCCATTTTCCAGTACATCACATTCTGCAAAGTGAAAACCGACAAAAATCCTAGTAAAACTTCATTTACGTCAAGAAGACAAGAATCAAAAGGAATTTTCTACCTAAAATCTTTATTAAGTAGAGCTGAATGTGAATTTTTCTTTTTTTTTTTTTATTGAATTTTGAAAAACAGATGTATGATACTGACCGATCAGGATGCATCACAAAGGAAGAACTAGCATCCATGCTCAGAGTAATTAAACCACTTACCTTCCAACAGTCTGTAGGTGTGCTCAACTATAGCTTTGAGTATAGAATGACTCTGATTTTGTGATTTTGTTGTGCAGGCTTTACCTGATGACTGTCTCCCAGCAGATATCACAGAACCTGGGAAGTTGGATGAAATATTTGATCGGATGGATGCTAACAGCGATGGAAAAGTCACATTTGAGGAGTTCAAAGCTGCCATGCAGAGAGACAGCTCCCTGCAAGATGTTGTCCTCTCTTCTCTACGCCAGCAGTAGCCTTCCAATCTTTTCCTTTACCTTAAATCACTTTCAATGTTTCTTTGAATTTTCACGTTAAAGGCGATAGAAAGATAGGTGATGCCAAATGGGGTTTAAACAACTATATACCTTGGTTTTGTAAGCAGGTACTATATCATTCTATGCTGAAGAATAATATAAATTTGATAACCATCAGAGTTGTTGCCCTCCCTTTATTTATTTTTTTATTTTTTTATTTTTTTATTTTTGTGTGTGTCAAGAGATTGAGAAGAAAAGAATGTGGCAGATAAGCAGTGAAATTTCTTTTGAACATACTCGTGAAAAGGAAGAAAACAGAATCTTACGAATGAAAGACTAGGCGGATATTGGAACATAGAGGAGGAAAGACAAACATATAAAATTAACATTCATCTATGGTTAAGCTGGAATTCCAAGAGCTAAGTTCTCTCCTCTCCAAGAATTCATGGTAAAATATACAAGCATCAAGCTACAATCAAGAAAATTTTCCTAGTGATTCAAAGATACATCACAAGCAAACCCTACAAGCTTTGCATTGGAAGAACTAGAAAGCACTATAGATCATTGTTTCCATCAATACTTTTTGTGATACCACAACTTTCATCATCTGCACTGTCACTAGAATCATCCATATTTTGTATTTCACGATTCGCAAGCATCCTTTCACTGGAGATGGTTATAGCCATCCAGCTTGGTTCCTCACCATCCTTGACTCCCAGGTCCTCTACCCAATCTTCCATATTGGCATCTATAGCTTCTAAACATACAGGATCAAGTTTTCTTTTTGTGCTTTTCACTTTAGTTGAATCTCCCCGCCTGCTTAAGAGAAAAATAATAATAATAAATAATGTTATGTTATGTTAAAGGATGAAAGTGCCAAATCAAGATTGAAATCTGAAAAACGTATACACACTTATGATGTTGTGATGCACATTACTAAAGCATTTTTAACTAAAGCAACCAAAACACAACAAAAAAAGATTCAGTTTTTTATGTTAGATCAGTACCCTCTATATCATAATAACTAAATATATAGGGGAAAAAAGGGAAAAAGAATGAGAACAATGAAGATGCATTCCTCTTGTGGAGTCTCTTTGGTTTAATCCTCTTGAGGACCAGTTCAAAAGCATGAGTAGCACAGCAAGAATAAAAGATGAGGAGCTGAAAGTGGTTCCATAGTTTATGGTCTTAGTGAACATATTTGCGAGGAAAGTACAAAGGAAGAAAATTTTACCTCTCCTGGAGATGCAAATTATTGTGGACAAATATAAGGTCATTCAACCTTTGGTTCTCCAACTGGTTCCTCTTCTTAAAACGGATGCATTTAAACATAGTCCAACTCCTCTTACAAGGGGTGATACTACAATTTTGACTTAATATCCTGACAGCCAAGCGTTGCAGATCTGGATAATCAGCTGCGAAAAGTGACCACCAAGTAGCTGCCAAAACAAAAAAAAGACTTAACTAACACTTAGGAAGATGCTATGATATACAGCCTAAACTGGCAATATTGAATAAATGGAGATGAACCTGGGGCCAAGGTTTCTCGACCGCGTAAAGCCACAGGTCGACCAAAATCCCCCACAGATTCCTCATACGACTTTATGCCGCTTGTTATTATTACTTGGGCATTGACATCAGGCTCTAAAATCTCAATACAATCAAGTAATCCTTTTTGGATGACTTTGTTAGAAGAGAAATTAGGACTGTAAAATATTGAAGGGTTAAGATAGCATGCAGCTGCATGAAGAGGGCTATGGAACTCCTCTTGCCAAATACGATCAATAACTTTTAAGTATGGTATGTAGTCAGAATCTTTATCATCGAATGCTGCAATGATACTTTGCTTTGCCTTTTCAATTGCATCATATATATATCCAACAGATGGTCTCTCTTGATCTTCCAAAAGCTGTATAACGGAGAGTAGAGGCTTTGTAACCTTCAGTGTTTGTTCACACAATGACCAGAAAAGAGGGTCCACTACAGTTTCGGCCACTTCAAGGCCTATCATTTTCTTACAAAAAGCTGACTGCATCCAGGCAGAACTCGTAAAAATCTGATGTAGCTGATTCTTGAAGGATACAATACTTTGCAATGTCAGAAAGATGGAAGCAAACCTTGTAACTCCAAGATGAACAATATCTCTTTCACCAGTTTTCTTCCTCACTAAGTTGAGGACCCAGGCATTATTATAAATGATCTGAGTAACTCGCTTAGCCTTTGCTAAAACCTCTTTCACTTCATCCATTTTTCCAATTTCCTCAAGCATCAAGTCTATGCACTGCACTGCACAGGTGCTGCGGAAAAAGGTTTTGTACTTCTCCACCAAGAGCTTGCTAGCAGCTTTTTGATTGGGTGAGGTATCTGTGACAAAATTGACAACATTCTTGGGTCCAACCTCTTGAACAACACCATCAAATAAATTCAAAAGCGCATCAACAGATTTTGTAATTTCTGATGCATCAATAGATTTGAGGAACATGGCTCCCTTAGGACAATAAACGAAAAAATTTATAACTACATAACCAGTTTTATCTACCAACCTATCAACCAGAATCGTACATCCAGTCACCTCCCAAGACTTTCTCAGTTCCAAGCAGTATTCCTCAATATCCCTAACACTTCTGTTCAGTAATTTACCCCTCAAAGAATAATAAGAAGGCATCCTATAACCAGGGCCCATGGCAGCAATGGCATCAGCCATCTGTTGGAAATAAGTTGAATTTGCAGCAGTGAATGGAATGCCAGCATCATAAAAGAATCTTGCAACAGCAATATCAGCTTGATCTATGCTCTCCTGGGAAGCAAAATTTTGACATATGGGTTGAGCAATGACAGAAGAGGCAGTAGAAAATTTTTGCTTCTTCTGCCTCTTGGCTCGAGTGGAAGTTCCTTCTAAGGGCTCTTTTGCTCTTCTACTCGCGCCTAAAGCAGAAATTCTACTCTGAACTTGCACCTTATCCTCTTCATCTATTTCTTCTGTTTCTTGATAGTACAACACAGAGGAGTACTTTCCACCTTTAACTTCTTTCTGCCTTTTCTGCTTTTCCACAACTTTAGAATCTAGATGTTTCTGAATCTGTACTTTTACTTCTTCAGGTACCACCTCACATGGAGCAACATTGCCCCTTTCCCCAGCTAAATGTTGCTTCAGTCTGGAAATTCCACCCCCAAGAAAAACTTTATGACAGTATTTGCATTTAATCTTTTGCCGACCACCATTGACCATGGTTCCATGAGCCCAACCAGGATCAGTAGCACGCGGAGGTGCCAAAGCCTAGTACAAATTGTACACATCCATCAGTAGAAACAGGTAGGAGAAATATGTCATAACACAAGAAAGGAGTATACAAAAAATGAATCTTTGTCAAAAATAAAATAAAATAAAAAATGACTGACATATATCTATTAAGATGGCAGCAATTATCCGATGTCACGCTTTTCACAAGGGAGACAAGTGACATAATACTCAACTGGCTTGAGTGCACCACCATTAGACAGCAATATTATGCAATATCATCCAGATTATTTAATTTCATGATTTATCAAGCCATTTAAGTTAACTTCAAAGTATATGCATGCACTAACAGATTAAGCAAAAATTTCGTTGAGTGCAAATGAAACAAAAATGAAAGGTGCAAGGCAATGAAACCGTACATTACTCACTTGGTTGTCCTTGCACTGCATAGCTGAAAACACCTCAAAAATCTCTAGTATGACCTGTTCAAATCATCACCAGGCGTATCAGATACGCAAAATAGTCTACAGATAAATTAATATGTAAATTGATGATCAAAGATTCCGCATGTTCATCAAACACGAAACTTATGGGCATCAAGGTTTCACCTCACAGTCTTATGGTAAGAAAGTAAACAGCAATGAAGTTCATAATCATTCCTCGAAATGAAGACAGGGAAAGGAATTTGTTCTAATGTTTTAATAACCATCCATAGATCTCTATCATTTATCAATGATATGCAGACTTCGGTAGAAAAAGATTCAAAAAATCAGAAAGGGTCAAAAGTTTCTAGCTTTAGTTTGATTCAATGAAAATGCCAGTTTCAGAAAGTCATGAATCCACCCAGAATCAGCTTAAAATTTCTCAATTAGAAAATTATGAACTTGTCAATTGCCCTGAACCCTTCAAGAAAACCAAATGAAGTTTAATAATCAATATGGCTTCTCTTTAGCACCGAACTTGAAAAATATCAATTACAGTTGCTTCAAAAGAAACGAGCTTAAAAAATGCATTGTTTTTTTTTTTTTTGCTGAAAAAAGCAACCGATGAAGTGATTTCCACGGAAATATGCGTAATTTTTGTAGAATCATTTCCATTGGGACTTCAATTGGGTGCCCAGAATGAATCTTACCAAAAGGACGAAATTTCGACGCGAAATATCGGGAAAGTGGCCGAATTCCTGTCTGAAAGACCGAAAAAGGAGATAACACGAGCAGAGAGAGAAGGGACCCAGCTCAAATTGGCAAGAATCATACGATTCTGGGGGTTCCGATCCGAGACCCTAGATCTCGAGTTGCTTTCCTGTAAAAGCCGGGCGTCACGACGGATGAGCAGGCGGGTCGAGGGTTGCCGGCCGCCGGGGACTAACAGCACCAAGACGCGAAAGGAGAGGACGATATAGCTCAGCAGTTTCGTTCCACGTACCGTTTCGTCTCGGTTCACTTTTGTTTTTGTTTCTGTTTTTTTTTTTTATCTTGCTTTTTGTTCTTTCTTCTTTTTTTTTTGTGATCCATTTTATTTTCTTATATAAAATATTTTTTAATGTATTATTTTATTATAAAATCAATAACATAAGTACTTATTTTAAATAATTTTTTTAAAAAAAAGCTTTAAAGGATTAACCATTTAGTATTATTTAA